GGAAATGATCCTTCACCAATAAATGAAAAATATGATTTGCCTCAGTAGGCTCAGGCTGAATCCCATTTGTGAAAATATATTTCTAAATATATATATAAATATATAAAAATATAAATATATCCAACTGGATATTGGATATATGTATTATATATATAAATATATATCCAATATACTTATATATAATTTGAACATATTTGGAAGAATATAGGCCCATCTGTTAGCAATGGCTACTTTGGGGAAATGGGTTGGGGAAGGAAGAGGCTTCAACTTCGTGTTTCATAGAATTCTGCTCTATTTGATTTTTTTTAACTTAAAAAATTTTTTCTTTAAATATTTTGAAAAAGTAAAAATCCTAGTTAGCTCTTTGTTATACAGACCATTAAACCCAAACTAAATGAAACTTGAAACCTTAATGCACCCTTCCCATCTTAATCTCTTCTAACCCCCTGCATAAATCTTTCCATGAAGCCAGGTTCCCATAACACACCAAGCATATTCATTAATGTCTCAAGTCAACAGGTATTTGTTGAGCACTTATTATGTTCACTGGGAATCCATCAGAGGAAGGGAAAAAAAAAAAAAAGAACAGCTTCAGCCAAGTGGCACATTCCTCTCACCTCCCTCTGTTGCTCTGGACCATGTCTCTTCCTATCCTTTCTTTGGGCTCTCCCAGGCCCCCTCCTCCAGGAAGCCTTCCTTTCCTTTTCCCTCCTCTGAATCTTAGAGTATTCAGTATAAGTCTTTTGAAGACTCATACTGGCTAGACTAAAGGTTCTAAGAGAACAGTAATGTGATGATTTACATTTTCATACTTTCAGTCTTCATTTATTAATCATATATATGTGACTACAATAAGGATAGAGCAGGGAAGTTGGCAGGGATCACATCCTCTGGCAGTGGAGAAGAGCTACATGAAACATGTAATGATAAACAGCCCCTCCAAGAATAGTGTGATGAACAGTATGAAAGAAAAGGAGAGCGCGTCATGAAGATATATACCGGGAACGTGGATGCTGGACTGAGGGTGGGGTTTGGAAGGGCTTCCCTGGGGAAGTCAAATTTATTTAGCTGGGATGTGAAGGAAGAGATGAAGTGCTTAGAGGAGGGGCCCAGATGGGAAGCACCATGGTGCACGGGAAGTAAAAGATGGCAGGTAACCTAGAGCGACTAACCTAGAGAGAGAGGGGAGTCAAGTTAACAGAGGAGGCTGGTGGGGGAGGTGAGAATCCAATCGGATATGACCTTGATGTCCCTCAACGAATTTGGGCTTCATTCTATGGGCAAAGGTAGCCACTGAATTCTTTTAATTGGAGGATGGACAAGATCACACTTACCTTTTAGAAAGGTCCCACTGGCTAATGAGAGGGAATGGATTAGAGAGCAAGCCTGGGTGTTTCTAGCACTGGCCAGATAGTAGGACTCAACTCTCTGTGGACTGATTGCTAATAGAGTGAATGCTTTTCCATCAGGTTAACACTTCCCTCTAAATCTCTATGTCTCACCATCCATCTGGCACTTTTTCCTATAGCCTCTTCCTACCAGTGTTCATATAACTCTAGGATTTTCCTCTTTTAAGAAAAGGGAATAAAACTTAAACATGCAATTCATGAGAGGCTACCCAAACTGCTATTATATGTGTTAAAAGGCAATCAATTCCATTTGTGTTAGCACTGAACTACAATTATAAACCACTGCACCACTTACCAGAATGATGAAAATTAAAAGTACTGACAATACTTAGTACTGTCAGGGCAATACCTATGGTTGTCAGGGACTTTGGTTCTCTGCTGGTAAGACTGTAACTCTGTTCTTGCTCTGTGGCAAACTGGCAGTATTTCCTAAAAATGAACAACATATCTTTACCTTCTAACCCAGTAATTGTACCACAATTTATGCACAAAGAAATTCATGGCAGTATGATATAAAGGAGCCCCAAATTAAAAAAAAAAAAAGCAAAACCACAAAAAAGATGTTAACATAGATAAATACACTGTAGCATAGGCAAACATTGGAGTGTATAGAGCACTGAAAAGAAATGAAGCACATCTACACCAACAGTATAACATAAAGCAAAAAGATTAGGTACTGTGAGTCTAACTGCATGTGCTCTTTTAATTTAACTGATGCAATCAGAAACCAGGATAGTGGTAACCTTTGGACAGTGGTCACCTCTAAGGAGGGGGAGAGACTGGGAAGGGGCACGGGCTTGGGTCTATCTGGGGGTGTTCATTCTGTGCCAGTTCTTGACCTGGTGGTGATTCAAAGAACGTGTTCACTTTCACAAATCACTGAGCTGTATGCTTAGGATGTGCATACTCCTTTGCAGGTATATCATATTTTAATTTAGAAAAAGGAGAAGCAAACTTCACATTACATCCCAAAGGAATAAAAAAGAAAGCTCAAGGTTCCCAAATGGTCTCCTTTCCAGTTTTGAGCTCAGGATAATCTGAATGTAAACTTGGTCAGTTTTTGGTTTCTGAGCCCTTCAGATGTCATTTTCTTTCCCCCAGCCCTCCCTCTATGGGGAGGGATGGTGTCCAATAGGACCCCCAGTGCTATGCTGCCGTGAATTCTTCTTTTGGAGGAAACTTAATAAAAACAAACCAACCTTGCTTTAAGGCCTTTTCTAACTTGCTTCTCTTTCTGCCTTTTGGGTTGGTTATGTCACTCCTCCAGGCTCCTGAGCATTTTCTTCCTCTTTCCAACTCCTATACACTGGGTGATGTGCTCTCTTGTCCACTGTTTAGGCATTTTTAATTACCTTGAGAAACAGACTTTAGTTTTGCAACTCAAAATGTCAACGATACAAATATATCTTACAGCATTCTAACTCTTCCACCCTGACTTGGTGCTGTTGGGCAATCAGAGATGTTTTACACCTGCATCCTCAGTTCAGTTCAGTCGCTCATTCATGTCCAACTCTTTGCGGCCCTATGGACTGCAGCACGCCAGGCTTCCCTGTCCATCACCAATTCCTGGAGCTTGCTCAAACTCATGTTCATTGAGTCGGTGGCAATCAGAGATGTTTTACACCTGTATCATCATTTGTTTGAACAACTGTGTGCTAGTATCTCTAGGTGAGTGTTTCTACATGGAATTGTGTCACCATGGGGTAAGTTTCTCATCTAGAATGAGCATAATTACAGTCCTCTCTCTGTAAGGTGGTTGTGAAATCTGAATGTGGTTAAGACATGTAGAATGTATAAAATGAGTACATTTGATAATAAAATAGTTGCCCAATAACAGCAACTATGGGTATAAAATAGTTGCTCAATAAATGGGAGTTATTCTCAGTACCAAGGGCAGGAAGTACTGGTGATTTCTTCCTGCAGATCTTAAGGATTAAACAGAGTGAGATGTGCTATATTTAGAGGGGTTGATCTGTCTAGACCAACTGGTGAGCATTTTGCTTGGTCCTAATGCAAAAGTAGTTCCTTCTCTAAGACCTTTCTCGGCCCTAAGGAAAAGGTCAGATTGATTTAGTGGCAGACACAAATAAAACAGGTAAAGCTACCAAAATGGTTGTCTTTTAAATTTAGGTGATCATACGACTGACAAAGACTGGGGAGCAAGATGAGTACTCCGTATCTTAGAGAATCTTGTAAAATGCTTTAACAAATATATAAGAATCATATATAATTGGCACACGCTTTGTTTGAATGCAAACACTGCTGTTAAAGTGGTGCTTAAAAACAGTTTGTTGGCCTTCGCTTCATACAGGAGAAACATTTCTCTCGTTTACACTACTCTCTTGCTTAGCAAACCCTTATTTATCCTATAATGCAAGTGTAATCAGCCCAACATGTCCAAATGCCCACAGATTCTGAATTAGTGGAGTCTGCATTAATGGAATTTTACACTGTTTCTCATGGAGACAAGCGTTTGTAAACTACCCACTCCAGCAGTTTTGAGAACACTCTGTGAAAAATGACCCCTTGCCTCCTCTTGCCCACATCTTCCTGATTTGTGTGTTTTAGTTCCAGCTTTCAAAAGAGATGCAGGGAAAAAAAGACTCAAAAGTACTCTTGGGACATCTGAATAGTTATTTATTGAGAAGCCACAGTTTTCCACACTTTCATAACTGTAGGCTTTATATAAGGCAAAAGCAAGATGGATCTACTACTTTACACAGAAAGAAAGAGCTCTGCAGAGGACCCCAGGGTCATGCAGTTACAGAACAAAATGCAATGTACATGACAGATATAAAAACCAGCGTGGAACAAAATAATTTTAAACTATGGTTACAATCTACCGAAGGAAATATCCATATCTTAATATAAACACATTTATATTCTAGGGTCATAATTTAAATATTCAGGTCTTCTTTTTTTTTACATACATGGTTATCGAAACATAAAAGTGTAACATTTAATAGGATAAACTTTGATAGAAGACAGTCGCTCTGAACTGTGCTGGATGTCATGAGAGGATCGCTCGTGCCATGGCAATTAGGAGGATCAATCCATTGGTATGTAGCCATCCTTTTTTGGGTAATTATCTGGATAAATGACAGGATGGGTTAACAAGGATGCCAAGGGTTTGTTTTTTCAGTTTCAGGGGAAGAGAAGGAACCAAAAGTTGGTTGTTGGAGACTTGCCTTTTGTTTTTCAAAAAACAAAGCAGATCTATGTGTCTTAAATTCATTTATTGTAGTTATTTAAATAACTGGCATCCACATACAGGAAATAAAGAAGGTACGTGGCATACTCGCCCTTATATCCATTTACTGTCAACGTGCACACACAGCACATTAATGAAGCATCACTGGACTCTGTTGTACACAAGGGTACACCTAGCAATTGAGCTATGTATTCTCCAATATGGTATTTGAAAGGTCATTTGCTAATCTTGGTACCACATACCTAAAATGGCAACTGTCTTGGTACACATCTCATGGGCATGGTAATTGACAGAAAATTCCCTAATGGGGTTAACTAACAGACTAAAGGACATGCATTGATTACAAGACTCTGTCCTAGCAGACCCTAAGCCTGAGCATTCTAATCGTCCTCTTCATCTTCCTCATCGCTGTCCTTCATGCTGATCCCCTGCAGGCCCCCACCCTCGCTCACAGACGCTGTGGCCTCCTCCACAGTGAGACGGTTCCGGATGGTTTCATAGGTCTTGCTGTTTAAGGTTGAGTCCAGGACTCCTTGCAATCGGAAATCTCTATAGGTTTTCTAAAGAGGGAAAAGATGCAGTGATGAGGGAGATCTCATCTCCATGGGGGGTGGGAGGGGGCTCAAGGAGAGTGTGGGGGTGAGAACAGTGACCGCAGCTAAGTGTCACACTGCATGCACTGTCACATGAAAAGCCACCATGCTCAGATTTCACTTGTACTGAAAACTGAGATTCATTGAATGACAGAAAATGAGAAATGGTGACAGGATAAACTGTATTAGATGAGACAAAGCAAAGAACATAAGCTTATTTATTCAGTTTCATAAAGGGAAATGTTCCATCATTGTTTTGGTTCTCCTTTTTTTTTTTTTGGGTCTGGTTCTTTCTCTTAGGTTACTAAAGTATCATATGATAGACAGTGTGAATAGCTATAACATATAAATAATGGATTGCGTGAGATGGTATTTTGTGATTTCTGCTGCAGTCTGGTCTTCAGTATTTTTTGAGGCTTGTGACTGCATATCCCTTTGTCTCATTCACAAAACAGACATATGCATATCAGTATATGAAACTGATCACGGGCAGCCACAATTAGGGGGAAGATGGAGCGTTAATGCCTCATCAGTATGTTGCAGGCATGTGACTCATGGCTTGCTTGTCTCCTTGGGAAAGAAGTGTATCTGTTCTGTTCACAACTTCGTGGTCTCAGGGAAGAAATTTGGCTCTTTTTCAAGAACAATGGTTTGGTATTGCTGTACCACCAGTTCTTTCTTTGTTCCTTCAGGCAATTTCTCTTGGATTTCCTGAGGTATCCCAGGGACTGTTTTTCTAGGAATCCCTTTGCGTTAATTGAACATGACCAGAAGCATCTGGCTGTTGTCTACTTCGCAAAACATGTTTTTTTGCAGAAGGTCCCTCTCTAACTACAACTCTCCTCATCACACTGCATATCATTTCAGCTACTGATTCTGCTGTTTGTTTCTCCTCTTGATATGGGAAGCATGCTAAGGGGTCAAAAGAAGGTACAGTAACGTACTTCAACACCACTTGGATTATGATTTCTGGTTTCTAGAGTCCATCTGACGAAGTCCTAGTGTCATTCACCATGTCAGCCACCCCTGAAAATCACATGTGGTCATGACTGCAGAGTTAACTAGTGAATGCTATTAAGCTCAATGAAGTCCAGTAACAAAAGATTATAAATAGGATGACCATGGGTTCCCTTTGCCAGGTTATATCTGTGGTCCCAATATGATTATCTGTTTTTCTTTCTTTCTTAAAAGTAATCTGATCATCCTAACTACTTAAAAAGTACATCTTAATTACTTAAAAGAAATTCAAAGGTTACCCTAACTGTGGCTGCAAGGCTAGGTAGCTAGTAGAACTGTGTCTTCACCTGGAGGGGGTATGGGTAAGAGGCTGATTAAATGCCAGTGTGGTGGAGATCAGATATCCAGACAATTTACTTGGTTTTTCTGTACTTTTCCATCATTTAGAATTGGCTGCCAGAATATGATGGGGAAAAGAAAGGTAGAGATATTCTACCTTTTCAAATATTCTCCTCTCTATTCAAATTCCAGAGCAGTGTGTTTCTCAACCAGATTCCGCATGTCTAATGACAAGAGTTTTTGTTTTTTTAAATACTCCATTGTGCAACACACAAGTAGGGGCTCAACTAATATTTGTCTGAGGTTGGATGGATGAATAAATGCTTGCTGGATAACGAATGAATGGATGAATAAATGGAGTGGATGGAGAGGCAGGAAAAAAAGCCAATTATCATTGGAAGTTTGCCGGAAGGAGGAGGCGGCCCCTGGTTAACGTACTTAGCGAAGAGGTGGTGAATTCTGCTTCATCCCTCTGTGTTGTGGCTGTAGTTAAGCCGGGCCCACTTTGGCAAAAGTGAAGGAGTTCCTTTGGCAGGGACGTTTCTGTGTCCCTTTCCCTATGGCTCATGTCTGTGTTGTTTTTGGCAGAGGCTAAGAAGCAACCTCCTCTCTGACTTTTTTTTTCCTTAATAAAATATTGCTAATTCCAACAGTCTCAACAAAAATCTGGAAATATCAGTAATGGGAAGATATTGTAACAGACTAAAATGCATGACTTCCCAGGAAGGGTCACATAGAAAAAAATTCCCCTAAGAGTATTTATAGCCAGAAAATGGAATTCAACGGATCAGGCAATGGTTAGTGAGGTTGCCTTAAGGAACTTACATTTAAAAATATGAAAATAAGACTGGGTACATAGTCCGAGTGCATACATTTCTTTTTTAGGAGCTGCAGTACACTGTCTGTAACCTTCCCTGGGAGGACTCTTTGTGAGATCAAATGCATATGATAATAATTCTCCTTAATTACACTCAACGGAACAGTAATTGGTTTTAAGTCAGCACTGGGGTAGAGGAGTACCTTGAATGAAATGGTGCTAATCCGAAAGAGACTAAGAAATGGGGCGGGCGGGAGCGGGGTGACTTTTGGCAAACTGTTACGAAATAGAAATTCAGCCCTGTTTTATTGTTAAAATATTTTTAAAGAGACTTTGTGCTTTGAATGAGATTTTTGCATACGAATGTTTTTAAAACCCTCTACGGTGCAGCATCAAATGGAAACTGAAATGATCAAAAACGTATTTACCCCCTTCTGTGATCTTATTATTTCATGTAAACCACTGAGATTTCACGCTGAAATAATTATCATTAGTCCAAGGCACACACACAAGAACAGGGGAAAAAAGCTACGTTCAGGGTATGTTACCTCACCTTCGTGATCCTTTACATTTGATTGTATACACGCATTGTAAGAGAAACTACTTCAATTAACTACAAGAACAATATTGATTTGCATCCTGATAATGGTCACAGGACATATTCAGAAGGAGCTGGAGGTAAATATTTCTATTAAATTAATTGTGGCAAAATTTAATTTAATTAAACCATAAATGAAATTCATAGTGGAGGTGATTAGCACGGCGGTACCCCAAAGCCAGCTTCTGAAAGTCTAATGCAAAAGGGCACAATGGCTCTAGCAGTATATTTGCATGGCAAATACATAAAGTATTTTTCCAGTCTGGATAATGTATCAAATGCCTTTTTATTAAATTTCCCTTTGATGTCTGAATAATAAATTAACCAGAAAGCCCACAATGATTTCATCAGTTTTTCTTGCCTGAGATACGGTTTTAAGAATCATCTTGTTTCATACATAAACTAATATTCTTTGTGTTAGAGAAGTCCTACAGTTTGCCAATGAAATGTATTTCAGCCAGTTATTTGCAAAGGAGAATCACCATGTTTTATTTTACCTTGACCATCCTAATTAGAGTTTTCAACTGATAAATGTGAAGCTGTAAGTCCATCCGGTCCGTCAGCCAGGTACAGATCACGTTCATGGAGCTGTTGTACCATTGCTGAAAAAAGAGACAAAAGTTCTCCAGGCAACACATCATGGAGCATTTAAACAGCAGAGAAGGAACAGGCCATGTGTGAGCACCCTGCTCTGCTCCAAGAGGAAGACAAAATGGTTAAAGAGAATTTGAGAGCACAGAGATCACAAACAGGGATTTGACACAAAGTCACAGGGTCCCAGGTCAGTCGAAAAGAGAGTGGTTTGGACTCTGGGTTGAAAACAGAACTCTTCCACTCTACACACCTCATATGCAATCAATTCATAAGGACCATCTTTTGCTCTGTTGGTTCATTTTACTCAGCCGAGATATAAGTCACTGTGTATGTCCTAGTGCCATTGTCTCAGGGGTCTGGGAAGATGGGGGACCACTCCACTGAGCCAGTTGATGCCACTGGCTACTTACCTGTAGAGAAATCCAGACCCTGTCTGCTTAGGATGGTTCTGGGAATCAGGCTGAGAGCCTTAGGAATTTAGGGCAAAGTTCACCTTCATTTACCCTAGTGGGGCATCTGAATAAAAACAATGAAGGAGGGTTTCTCTTTAAGGGCCAAATTATACTCTGGGCAGCTTATGTGGCCTTACATTGACTGTGCAATCTGTTTTAATCTTAACACCCAAAAATTATGGAAGATGAGGGGGGGAAAAAAAACATCTACAAATGAGCTCATTTCAAGCTGTTGAAATCATACTTCCCCTTAAGGGGGTTAAATTTTGCTTCTTGTCTGTGAAAAATGCTTGAAGCTGTGTCACTTTAGACTGCCACCCCTGTGGTGAAGAGAGTCTCTGGTGCGGTATAATTTTGCAGCACTGCTCATATATTCATAAATCTCACTCGGAGACATATGAACAGTGTTATGAAGTGTCAGTACGAAAAAAAAAAATCTAATCTTTTAAACTTCACCAGGTTTCATTACGCGTTGCCGCTTATACCAAACAATTTACAAATAAAATGAAAAGGTGTGGATGGACCTATATATTTATTTATAGGAAAGTATATGAACTGTGCACAGAAAAGATGTAAAAAAAAAAAGTGGTTAAAGAATTGAAACGTTGCATACTCTCCTGCTAACTGACACGCACATTCACACACACGCACACGCACACCAGTGGAGATTTGAAAAGCATAAATAAAAACATGTTTCTGATGGTAACTCCACCCTTTCTCACCTAAAGATCATCCAAAATCAGTTTATGCCTAACACTCACAGTTTTTCCGAAGCCTTGTTTCTGACTTAATTTCTTAAAAAAAAAAAATTAATTTGGGTTTTTACTTGCAAGGTAGAACTGCCAAGTTTCACCTTGCAAGAAATGACACAGTCGCAGCCATGGCCCCTCTCTGCAATCTCCCGTTTCGAGGCTCTTTCCTCATCAGAGCCAATTGTGGCTCTCCTTGGAGCTCAGCCGCAAACAGAGACCACACTACCCCAATCGAGGCAGCACTGCAGCCTCACAGCCAATTTCTGCTCTTTTAAAGATCATGGAGGCGAAACTGTCAGTTTCGGGGAACCTTCTGTCCCTCCCCCAAAGAGTGGGCAGGGTGGGGCGGTTCTTTTTCTTCAGATCTGCAGTTCACCCCGTGTCGGGAGATGGTTTGCCGTGGTCAAGCTACTTTAGGCATGGACAGGTTTTCCCCTCTAGGAGTGAAAACATTTTACTGAAACATTTTTTTTGGGGGTGGTGGTGGTTGTGATTATTGGGGTTTTTTTGGCACCTCCTGCCTTGGGATCCTGGAGCTCTTGCTGTCACTGCATCTGGGTTTGTTAAGGGGCTGGGACAGGAACATGACTAGGTCATGGGTGCGGCCCTGCTTTACTCTAAGCAACTGGGGGTCCTCTTGTGTCTACCCCAGGTCTCAGATGCCCACATTTACTGGCTTTATCTGACGTGCAGTCTGGGGGCTCAAATAGTCTATTTTGAGAGTCATGAGCAACGTCCCCCAATTCCCCTACTCCTGCCTCCTGGGGATGGAAAATGACCCTTGAAGGAACCTGGGCGACCTCCCGGTCAATCCAACCAGACCAGGGCCCCATGATGGGTTCATCTCAGGGACACAAAAGAGGAATGTGGCACTTGGGCTTCTAGGCAGAGGTGGCATTTTGCTTTGGCTGTGACAACAGGCAAACCGGCGCTGGCTTCTATCGCTGCCAGCAAGCCTTGTGCAACATGCCTTTTTCTCTTTGCTGAGAGACATGCCACCTTTCAGGAGAAGAAAAAACTAACGAGCGCCCCCCACCCACTATTTCATATAAGTAATTCCCATTCTTGTGAAAAATGGCTTTTGGATAGTCAAACAAGAACAAGAAAAAGGTAGACTGTTCTCAATACTCTTTCTGTGCTGCTGAAAGGGAGATGGATGCGTCAGCTTATCACACTCACAGATTTCCACCCCAGGAGAACAAGAAAGCCCTGGAACATCCATGCTTTTCCTCCTGGATCTCACATCTCGTGAAAGAAGTGTAAAAAATGTATGATGCCCCATTGGCTACACATTTCAAGAGGCAAAAGGGAGTAAGTCACTCCTTTCCAAACCTTATGCTCAGGAGATGAAATTGGAGGCACTTTTGGATGAAGTGCGGCGCTAACTTGGTTTTCCAGAAAGGCGCTTACAGGCACTTGGATGTTGGAGGAAGCAGGAGTCACTGCCTTTGAGAACTTGAAAACGTTTAAGGGGTGAAAGGGATCTTCCACCTTTGATCTCCACCTTGGAGGGGAGGCAACCAAGGCCCAGAGAGGAGAAGTGACTTGCCTGCAGTCACACTGCTAGTGAGTCCGGAAGTGGTGGTTTTGCAGGGCTAGACACTGGCAGGAAAAAGCTGATCGTCTAAAGACTGCTACCTAGGAGGGTGTAACAGTGCACGAAAGCTAATCTGGTGTATCTCTCCCAACTCTACATTTGGGGGTATCACATTGATAGCTAGAAATAGGCCTTAGTGGGAGTTCTTACCCTATGGGAATTGGCAAACGCCACCAACTAGGGCCTTCTCCTTTCCAGAAAGCCAGTTGTTACAGCATTTCATCAGCATATTACTAGTTGTCTGGGGTGTTCCTGCTTTTCCTCATGCAGTTTACAGTGCTTATTAATCAGGTTTGCTTTATTTGAGATCGATGCTAATATAGCAGATTTGTTATGATTCTTTGAAAGAGGAAATTAATACAACATTTTAAGTTCTGCCTGCTTTGTTTTGTCTTTGGTTCAGATATGCCTTTTCCAGAGATAGCCACAAAAATTTTGGTAAAATACACTCTAAACCCTTAGAAATAAAAATTGTGAGGGCATGGCATATACTATGCCTTGCCTTAGTTCAGGTATATTAACTGGAAACTACCTACATAAGGTTAATTTAATCCTAAAAAAGCCCTCGAGAAATAAAATCACCAGTTACCTGGGCACCACGAAAGGACATTCCCTAGGGAGTAATTTGGTGAAGGTTTCACAGTTACAAGCCAAAAGAAGAAAGGCTACTAAAGCCTTGGAGAGTTGGGAACTTCTTGGGTAGCTAAACCGCTGAAACTAACATGATGTTGTAAATCAACCACACTTTAAAAAAATTTTTTAACTGAATGCAAAAAATAAATAAAGAGCACTTGGAAGGCTGATCTAAAACCTTGCCATTAATTTTTTTTCTTTTCACCTTCCTTCCTTTCTTCCACACAACTGTTAACGTCATAGGCCTGACCTCCATTTCACCTAGGTTTGTGGTCCTGGGCAAGTTACTTACGTTCTCAAATACTCAGTTTCCTGATTAGCCAGTGGGAATTAGTCCCTCTTTCACAGGCCTTCCTGATGGCTAAATGAATTAATGCTAATAAAGCTCACATCACAGTACTTGGCACGTAATAAGGCCTCAATAAATGTTAGCTGCTACCACAACGAACACTACCATCAACACCATAACAACTGTCACCTTTACAGGTAACATCATCGTCGTCATCACCAGTACCATCATCTCTCTCCTCTTTTTCTGTCTCTTTCTCAACCCAAGAAATACCACAAAACAGGGAAGAACACAGAACAAATGACCAGAGAAACCCATGTGGTGGTGGACGAGATCACTCCTGTTGGAATATCTCTGGGATCACATGACTAGCTCTCAACAAAGCGATCCTACTGTAGAGCTGCTTTGTGTTAGAGCATCACCCAAACCTATAAAACCATCCTGAGTGCATTATACACATTTGAAACTATACTGACCTAGATTTAAATATTGGATTCAAAGGATTCAGACAAGTAATGAGTGATTTTGCAAACCCTATGTGGATAAATTACACCTTCTGCTTGGGTTGGATACTTATTAGCTGGATAAACTCAACTCTTAAGCTACTTAACTCTCTGACCCCTAGTCTCCTCTTGGGGTTAATATTAGTACCTACTTCACAGGATTACTGTGAGAGTGAAAAGAGGTAATTGTGTAAAGTGCCTAGCAGAGTGACTGTCACATAGTAAGCACTCAATAAAATTTAGCCAGGATTGTTACTATTACTCCCCCAAACAGGCCAGGTATCCTTTTATTAGTAATACACAATACAGAAGAATTTTCATGATCCATTTCTAGTAAAAATCAATATGCAGATATACTCAAGTAACACATTCTGCCCTGCAACTAAATAAGTATACTGACTTCATGCAAAGGAATCCTTACACATAACATATCTCTTCTATAAGTGGGGGTTCACTGCAGCTAGGATTAGGGTGAGGCAGGATCTTGCAAGTGCAGGATTGGATGCTGCCTTTAATTACTACAAACTCAAATATGAGTTTGTTCATCATGGATGTCTTGCATTCAATTTTTAAAAACATATTAAGACATTTACCTTGATCATTCATTAACATTTTGAAACTGAGAAGTGATTCATTCATCTCTTCCCCAGTCCTTATACTTGGGTTCACTGTTTATCTGGGAATTTTATCCTCTGGAAGTGCCATAGGATTGTGAGATGGGATAGATAATTCACACCTCACTGGACAACATGTTTGGGTTGTTGTACTGGATTTGGATAATC